GGCTTCATCACGGCCATGTATCCCATCAAACTCAGAGTGTCTTCCCTTAGCAACTTAGAGGTGATTATCCAACCACTACTTTATAAAAACCATCACTACAGAAACACAATGTGGCCAGTTATCACCCTGTCTCTAATTTGCCCTTTCTGGACAAAGTGATTGAGAGAGCAGTGGCAGACCAACTCCAGATCTTCTTGGATAACTCATCTGCTCTGAAACTGGGCTATGAGATGGAGATGGCACTGGTAACCTTAGTTGATGGCCTCCACCTGAATGTGGACAAATGCCCATGCCTCTTCATTGCCCCCTACTGGATTTATCGGCAGTCTTCAATACATTGGATCATGCTTTCTTTTTTAAAAAAAAAATACATTTGGAGACTGAAATAGCTTTCAGGGGGTGTGCTTTGAACTAGTTTAAATCATTTCTTATGGACCAGTTTCAAAGAGTTGCTACTGGAGACCAGTTGTCATCAGTGTGGGACTTGTCCTGTGGGATTCCAGAGGGAGCAGTCTTATCCTGTTAACCATTCAATGTTATTGTAAAGCCCTTAGGACAAATCATTCTCATAACTTTGGAATTGCGTGTCATCAGTATGCTAATGACACCCAGCTTTCTCTCTCTCTCTCTTTCTCTCTTTCTCCTTCTCCCCCTCCCCCCCCCCCCAAAAAAAAATCTCCTGGTGATGTGATAGAGGCCTCAGACCACTTGCCTAATGGCTGTGGTTAAATAGCTAAGAGAACAAACTGAAACTGGATCCTGATAAAGATGTAGGTCATGCCGACTGGGAAGGATTAGGGGCCTTGCAGGACATTGTACTTCCCACCTTTGCTAGAGTTCAGCTGACCCTTGATGACTCAGTTAAGAACATAAGGGTTATAATGGATCCAGCATTACTGCTGGAGAAGCAAGTTAATGTAACTGCAGAAAGTGTTTCCTTCCAAGTTTAAACCTGGAACATGGCCCCCTATTTTGCCTTGGCCAATCTAGCCACCTGGATCCGTGCCACGGTAACATCAAGGCTAGACTATTGCAATGCACTCTACATGGGTCTGCCCTTGAAGTCAACCAGGGGAGTCCATTTAGTACAGAATCCCCCAACTCAGTTAGTGTCAGGAGCTAGACAGGGCATGCACATTATACCCATCCTGCACTCACACTGTTGGCTGCCCATTAGCTTCCAGGTTCAATATGTCATGTATAAAGCCCTCCATAGCCTTGGACCCCCATATCTGCAGGATGACCTCTTCTATTTTCCACCAAAACAACTCACAGCCTTCTGCAGATGACACCCTGCCAATGGGCAACAACCACCTGTGCATGTGCTTTCTCTGTTGTCCCCCCCTCCCCCCGTGGAAAGGCCTGCCTGAGGAGGTCAGGAAGACTCCCACAATCCCGTAAAACAGAGCAGGAGAGTTTTTCTATAAAATTAATAAAGGGTGTTCTATAGCAGACTAGTTCAGGAAGGTGCTTTAGAAAGGGAAAGATTAGAGACTGTGGATTATACCACTACGTATAGGATGTATTATCAGGTAGCTGCACATACTATTCTGGTGTCATTTCATTGTTTTCTACTGATGTAAGATGATTTTTCTTCATTATCTCCACATTCTGTATCATGTTTAAAATGCTGTGCTCCTTCAGATTTTGGTAATCTGGCTCCTGGAGCCAGTTTGGTGTAGTGATTAAGTGCATGGACTCTAATCTGGGAGAACTGGGTTTGATTCCCCACTCCTCCACTCGCAGCTGCTGGATGACCTTGGGCAAGCCATAGTTCTGTCAGAGCTGTCCTTGAAATGGCAGTTTCTTCAGAGCTCTCTCAGCCCTGCCTCCCTCACAGGGTGTCTGTTGTGGGGAGGGGAAGGGAAAGGAGTTTGTAAGCCACTCTGAGACTCTGAGGGAAGGGCAGGGTATAAATCCATGTACATTGCTCATTCAGTTTTTCCTCATTGATTGTATTGATCCACACTGTGCTTATTAGATGTCTCTTTATATGGACTGTTCTCAGTTTACATTGTGTACTCTAATTTGAAACTAGGTGAGAAATGTGGATTGTAAATACAGCAAATAAATATACTAGATAGCATAATGGGTTTAAAAAAACAAAACTCCATGGAGCCCCCATAGTGTAATTTCAGGCAACAGAGCTATGACTTCCTAGCGCCACTTTTGGAATTTGTAGACAGAATCAGAACCACTGGAGTGCAGTATCATCCCCCCCCCCTCCAATTCCTACTCCAGATAGATTGTCCCGAAGAATGCTGCGGGCCGACAGCCTCAGAAGTATCAACAAGATAGCACTCCCCCCCCCTTCCTCTCTGACAAGGGTGGCTTTTCAGAATGACCAAGGCAGTTTCAGTACCAAACGCGGGCCTAGCAGGGCTGCACTGAAACACGTTTGGGTAAGCAGCTTCCTCTGTAACCATCTGTTGTTGTTGTCTCTCCACTACCCACTCCAGTATCTTACCCAAGAAAAGGGGATATTTGCAACCAGCCAGTAGTTTGGCTAATCCTTTGGGTCTAGTTGGGGGGGGCCTCTTCGGAGCAGCCTAATGACTACCTCCTTCCTGTCAGCCAGGACTGCTGCTTCTCTGGGGCATTTGTAATCCAGACCCTGCTGGCTGCCTTCTCTGGCTAGATGTATGTGAATGAGCTTGTTACTATCAGACTGAAATTTCGTCGTCTCTGCGGTGTAAAGATTAGACGACATGCGCAAGAAATGTAACTGAGCCCTACAATAGCTCCCATTTAGAAATTTTTTTTGCCTGTTGGATACTGTCTTCAGTGTAGATTCAGATCAGTGGAGGAATGAACAAGACCAAAATCTACAGATCAGACTGGGGTTGTAAGCAGCCTTAGGTGCCCACACTATCTTGTCTTCTCTCATTCTCTGTTTTGGTATCATTCTGAGTGGCATTTGGGGCTGTTTCGGGGAGGGGGGAGAGCAAGAATATCATGCTCCAATGGATCCAAGCCCTAGAATGAAGCAGTTGAATTTGCACTTCATTTGCACAGCGAGGTGGCTTACAAAAGCAACAACGGATTCATATGCTGTTGAATAAAGTGATCTCAGTGTTATGGTGGCTTGTACTAGTTTATGTTGTCTATAACAGTAGCATTGATTTCAGATTTATGTATAGGAATAATAAGGATTTTATGGCAAACAGAACTAAGAAACCATTTATAAATAAGTCCCTTTACACTGTGTAAATTTGTTGAGCAGTGAGCAGTAGTCTTCTGGCAATTCGCACTAAAATCTGTCAGGCAATTTACTGTTCTGTTGCAAACAATTGGTCAAGAAGAATGTGAGCTATGCTGCCTTTCTGCACCCAAACCCAAACATCTCCTTTTAGAATAAGTTGTTTCATGCAAACATAATTAGAAAAACCTTGTTGATTCATTTTGCTATATTGAGATCTAGCATAATAAGATTACCTTTTCCCTCTCACATTCAGACCCTTACTTGATCAAGTTGGAGTTTATGGGGCAATTGTTTTTTTGCCAAGGTCTTTGTATTCTGATGCTTTAAGCATGTCCTTCAGTTGGAGATTGGCATACTGCAGTTAGCTGTCAAAACATTCCATCATTAGCTTGTGTCCCACTGCTACTGGATGGCATGGCAGTTGGAAATTGACACCTGTACAAGGAGGGGTGAAAGCTCTGCCACTAACATGGCAAGCAAGCAGTTGCCATCTGCTCCATGTGAGCTAGGTGGTGGCAGTGCAGTGGACCAGGAAGTGTGAGCCACTGTCACCTAAGTCAGGCAGAGATGGTGGCACTACAAGTGTGTGGGCTGACTAGTTGGTAGGCAAGTGGCTGGCCAAACAAGCTGGTGAGGGAATGGGGCACCCCTCCCACAAGACTCTTACAGATCCCTGCTTCTGAGGTTTAATATTGTAACCCCAACATAAGAGAATGCCGCGGCCAGGCTACTGATGTGTCTCCCTAGATGGGAGCACATCTGGCCTGTGCTGAAGGTGCTGCACTGGCTGCCAATAGCATACCGGATTCGCTTCAAAGTGCTGGTACTTAACTTTAAAGCCCTATATGGCCAGGGTCCAACATACCTGAGGGACCGCCTTTCCCCGTATATACCCCAGACAGCACTACGGTCTGGGGTGCAACATCGGTTGGTTATTCCAGGCCCCAGGGAGGCCAGGCTTGCGGCTACTAGAGCCAGGGCCTTCTCAGTGGCAGCTCCTTACTGGTGGAATGAGCTCCCAGAGGAGATCAGGGCCCTGCGAGATCTTGTGCAGTTCCGCAGGGCCTGCAAGTCGGAGCTCTTCCACCAGGCCTTCAACTAGGAGCCGCCCACATTACCATCACATTACCATCAACGACCACTATTAATATCTGTGGGGGAGGCTGGCTGCAGTGAAATCGAGCCAAACCACCTAGGAGAATATAATCACCTGAGCCTGCATGACACATCATCACGCCATCTTGGTTGCTAATTACTGAGTGCACTTTATTCAGCAATTGCCGATTGTTTAAATGTTTTAACAGTGTTCAATGTTAAGTTTTAAATGTTTTAACTGTATATGAATCTTGGCACATTGTGTCAGACAATGTGAGCCGCCCTGAGCCCGCTTGTGGGGAGGACAGGTTATAAATAAATAAATAAGGTTTTACATAGCAGCGGTTTTCAAAATTATCCTTAGGCTTGTGTATTCCTCCTTCCATGTATAAGACCTTCAATGTTAATTTGGGGACCAAGATAAGTTATTTCATGCAATAAGTTGTAAAATGTGCATGATGTCGCAGTGTGAACCAGACCAGTCTGCCTGTGATTACTCGTGAAGACGCAACTTGTGGTCCATTATGGTGATTCTGAGACTGGAGAGTAGGAAGTAGTCTCATTTTACGTTGTGTTTTGTACTCATGTAAAGCATGTAACACTCTGTTTACAATATTGGCCCCAGTATATATTGTAAGTCAGTAAACCTTTATGAATCTTTTCAACTCTAGTAACATACATTTACTTTGTCCTTCTTTCATAGGTGAGTCTGGATTGGGGAAATCAACACTAATCAACTCGTTATTCCTGACAGACTTGTATTCTCCAGAGTATCCAGGACCTTCACATAGAATTAAAAAGACCGTACAGGTATGCATGGGAAAATGTCATTTGGATTATGCTGATCTCCAAATTGGGAAGTGCCATCACAAAATTAGCATCCTGTCTGATTCTCATATGCAGTCGTAGGCATCTGCTGCTGTCATGGAAATGCCTGTTACAGATGAAAAGTGAATGTGCTGTTGAGTAATCTGTGGTTCTTGATTACTTGGCTGCTCCATCTCATGGTGGGAACCTGTGGCTTTTAAAATAACTCTCTGGTTAGACAGAGCTTGTCATCATTTTTCTTTTCCAAGCCATTTCAGTCTGGTAAGTGGAATTTCAGTGATGCTACTACTTATGGCTGTGTGATCCAGCAGCAGGCACCTAGAATGGAACCTTTTGAGAGAGAGACAGACAGACAGACAGACAGACAGACAGACAGACAGACAGGCATGAGTCCTCTGTGTGATGTTTTGCAGTGATGCTTTGGCAGTGCTTAGTCTGATGTGCAGATAGTTGCAAAATAAGGACTGTTGAATGAATTCCTGCAAAATGTTTTGTGCGTTTCATAGTATCGATTGGTTCAAAGCCATAGATGGAGAGCAGAATGGTTGCCATAATCCAGACAGTTTATCTGTAGTAGTAATTTTACATCTGGGAAGACGGTAGAGCAATGATAACTGATACCCGAGGAATATCTTTTACACTTAGCGGCAATATTGTGCTTCAGTTTCTAGTGTGTGTTGCCACACTGGAAACACAATCACAGTGTTGCTACTGATGCAGTTTTGCTCATTATTTTAAAATGCAGTGGATTACTACATGATACTGGTATTTGATACCTTTGCATTCTCCTGAAGAGGTAGATTGCTGTAACTGGAAGAGAGAACATTTTTCCTTCTCTATTTACCTTGGACCATCTGACAGTTCTATTTCACTTTCCTGTTTAGCTTGTATCCCTCTTCCTTGCTAAAATCATTCAGTTCAGTGATGGGCAAGAAGATAGCAACAAGAAAAATATGAACTTCACAGCTTTAGCTGGGTTTGTTGAAAACCGGCTCTATTTCAGTTAGTTCAAAATAAAATATTTTAAAATAAAATTCTTGCCAGACCTTCATGATGAGTTTTGAAGCAGAGTCAGTTGATCTCTGGAAACCACAAATAATATAGATGCTTTTAAGGGTTCCTCCAACAGGGATAAAGGCAGCTTGGGAGTGGCAGCTTTTGGCTGGAAAATGGAGTGGGGAGAGGTCAAAAATCCCATCTTCCCTTATGTGGGTCTCGCCTTTGAAATTGCAGCAGCTGCGTTTGGTAAAGAAGATATTTTAAAAGGATTGCAAACTGCATGTTGTTTTTCCACTCTTAGTTTGGCTGCCCTTTAATATCCTGGGAATTAGGTGGAGGTCTTGGAATACAAAACACTTCAAGAACTTGAATTTGAAAGTACTTTTAAAGCATTATTTCAAGTTGAGGCAGGTCACATGCAGACATCTTTATAACTTCATTGGGTTTGCGTTCTTATGGGTTTTAAGGTGATTTGAATTCTTGAGTTTTGTGTGGAATTGCTTTCATAGAAGGGAATTCAGCAGCATCCTCAGTGTAAACCCGTGTCTTTTGAAATAGCCATTTGAATTCTTTTAATGGATCACCAGAGAATGTGCTGTGCATTAGGAAATGAGTGAACAGGCAAGGAAACTCTGATTTCCTAGAATATGGCATAATACTGTATGACCTCTCTAACAGCAGTGCATGAGAAAATAACCATTTGGAATAGATTTGTTAAGGAAAGTTTTAAATTCCACGATTGGAGCAAAGTTATTTTCCTTGAATCCCTTAGGAGTACATCTAAAACTAGATGGGATTCATTTGGATTCTTAACAGAGATTGACACTGGTTTATAGTTGTTTTCTGGATCTCTTCCAGATGGTGCTGCTTTCTGAGAATTTGACCATGTATGGATACACAGATTCTTTAAAGTTAATAAAGAAAAACACCCCAAACAGAACAGCAGTTGCAGGAATGTTCTTGGTGATCTCTAGTTTGAACTTTGTACTGGGCATTGCACTAAGCTAATCACTGAGCATGTTAGAAGGACAAGGAGAACATTATTATTTCTGACACTTAAAAGTACTGGTGGTACAAAGGAATGCTTCAGATTGCTCCGTCTAAGGAAGGCTGCAGTTTTTAAAGCTAGCTTTATCTCTGTCTGGGGAAATGTGCATGTCATCGCTATTTGCCCTTCACATACTTTGAAACCTGGATGGATATTCAGGCCACCATATGGCCCATCAGAAGTGTGCTTAAGGCAGTGATGCCAGTGAGCTGGATCCAACCAGCTTCTCTGCTTTTGAGAATGGAAGGAGGCGGCCTCTCAGACTACTCAAGAAGTCTGCCCTGAGAATCAAAGGGATCTGCATGTAAAAAAGCTGCATGGGCTGAGACCTGTAATATGGAGGGGAATTGGGTGGTGCTGAGTGGAAAAGCTGGCTGGATCCAACTCATCGCGCTTAAGGCTACTTTGTGTGATGTTGGATTGTTGCATACTGTAATGCATTAATTGGTCCTTAAAACTGAACTTGGAAAGGACCCTTGGTTGTTAATGTTGACTAATTGGTATAGCTTCTTGCTTCCTTTCTGTGTAGAAAATAACCTTTTTGCATTTGTCTGAAAATTAGCTTGACTCCCTTCTTTATGATTTAATCATTTGTAAGGACCTTCAGAATGGTCAAGGGAATGAATTGAGTGCTAGGAGGAATGGACTTGATCATAAAATTGAGAAATACCTTTCCAGGATGAGTAGGAAAGTTGGCATAATCTGTAATATCGAAGTTAGCCTGGGAATAGAGGGAACACAGTACAGTTGGCAGAAAATTTACTCATCCTGTTTTCTGTCTAGCAACTAGGAAGGCCAGATCATAATATTTATGTGGAACTTTGATTTGGCTGTCTTGCTTTTGAGTAATAGTCTAGGAAACATGTTGAATGTTCAAGGGATATGGTGGGAATGATTTTGAACTGTCTTGCTTTTGAGTAATAGTCTAGGAAGCATGTTGAATGTTGGTGGGAATGATTTTGAGAAACTGCTCGTGGGCAAGTGAGATGAAGATGTGGTTATGTTCCCAGATCATTCAAGTTGTATATGTAGCATACTGAAATCAGTGGAATCGCTCATGTTGATGTTCCTGAACAGTTTGGTAGACCCAAATAATAACCTTGCATTGTGTTAGAAGATGCTATTTTACATAGGAATCCTGTGCAGATTTATTTTGGTGTAAGCCCATTGATTTAGAATGGATTAGCTGTGCAGTAGTATTGCCCTGGATGCCAAGAGATAAATGTGCTTATGTCAACTAGTGTACACGCCAGAAAAAAGTTAACAAAGCCCTGCTACATGCATACATGCCCATTCTGGAACATACATCAAATTGCTGTCTTGTCCTCTGTGAGAGAACCTTTATTTAATTTCCCCCCCGAACACCTTAAGCTTGATTCTTCTTTTTCTGTACAAGTTAAGGACATTTTGTTTGTTTGGTTTCCTGTGAGAATGAAGGAGAAGCAGACTCTAAGGAGGGCTGTATGGTATAAATTTAGTCTGATAGATTTGAAAATAAGACAACTTCCGTTTTGGTTTACAGTAAGAGGTATCCAGTGAAACTGTTACGTTTCTGTCTAAATGTTAAGCCTGTCTCTGATATTAAACTGACAGCTGCTGTTTACAAAGCTTTCAGGGCTGTTTCAGTTTTACTACTCAGAGCATTAAAAAGGAAGACATGCACTTAACCCCATACTTCGTAAAACACAAACATGAAATTCCGCAGCAAGACAGTCTGAATGAACCTGTATGAACGATGCAAGTTAAGCAGAATTGCATGATTCTGGTTGTGCAGGTCTTAGCCAAGAGCTGTGCAAGCCACACCCCTGGAAATCTTGTTCAGCTACCCCTCTGGTTTCTTTCAGCAGGTATTGCCCACACATTCAAGCATACATTAGTGAATACTGGAGCTGCCATAAAAGCTGAATTCTGCACCCAGTGCCGTGTTTTTGTGGGATTTTCTGTGCTCCTGAATAAACATGCAATTCTAACCACACCAATTCTTAGTCATTTACATCGTTTGTTTCCCACCTTTATGAAGAATGCTCAAGGCAGAGATTCATGTTTGCTCTCCTTATTGCTGGGGCTGCCATACCATTAAAATCACACAAAACATAAAGCTGTTTCTTTCCCTGAAAAAACAAAGTTTCCGACTTGTATAGCAGCGAAGATAAATATGAAACACTGCAAGTAGTGAATGGCTCAGGAAATTTTGGAAGCTCATGATTGGGTGGTGAGCAGGATTTCCACGCATCTGGTGCTGAGGTAGTCCTTTCCTGCTCAGGTCTTTGCTTCTTGTGATAACTTGCAGAAGTAAGTAGAAAGAGAACATTGGATAGACTGTTTTAAGAACATTGGGGGGGGGGGGATCCAGCTATTTCCCTAGGAGCCTTCCTCTAGTTAAAGTAGCTCTTCACTTACATTGGAGGATGGTTTTGCTCGATGGTATATTGGGATAAAAGGAAAATGCACCCCACTAGATGCAAACACATTCAGTACCACTGGAAAAATAAAGCCCTGAAATTCTTCCGTTTCAGGGTGTGGTGCCATATTGCTTCTGTTCTTTAAGTAAAGAAATGCTTCTTCATATTCAAGCATGAGAAATATCTTATCTCCTTGAATTTTTCAGGTTGAGCAGTCAAAGGTTCTAATTAAAGAAGGGGGTGTTCAGCTGCTACTAACAATAGTTGACACACCAGGATTTGGTGATGCGGTGGATAATAGCAATTGGTAAGTAATTTCTAGTATTGTGGCCACTAAAATAATGGGGCATGTTCAGATTTCTTTTGAAGTGAGGCTGGCTTCTGCACTGTTTGTTTTTGTCACGCTATTTTATTGACCAAACATTTCACTTAAAACTATTAAAATTTAGTTTCTCTTTGACTAGCTTTGAAATTAATGTTGTCTGGCTGCCAAGGAGATGACTCTAATTATATCCACTTTGGGAACACCACAGAGCTCCTAACATCCTGTGCAGCGTGTTTTCTCTGGCTACTGTGTTTAAAATGTTTATTTTAATACGATTACAGTACTCAGTTGTCTTAAAGCGACATTTAGTGAAAGCAGTCTCCCTTATGATTGTATATTAGCTGTTTGTTGTGATTGTAAGTTTTACTATCAGCCAGTTAATCATCTTAAATTTTTCAGAGAAGGTCATATCTCTGAATTGTCCCTCCTCCTCCTCCTGTCCATCTTTCTTCCACATGCACCACTGCTTTTCTCCTTGCTACCATGGCCCCTACATGGCATAGTCATTACTTAATATTTCAGCCGCTATGCTTGTATTTCTAGCCAGAGGAATACAGCCCAGCCCCTCCTCTCCCTTCAGGCTTTAAAGGGCCAGTGCCTCTTTTAATCTGGGGCGGGAGAAGAGCAGTCTTACGCAATGCTGTTCATTCCTCTGGCTGGAAATCATAACAGTACCAGCTATAGTCATGAGAGGGGTACATTTTTGCTTGTGGTAAAGGTGACAGAAGCAGGGTAGAAGCCTCTGGAATGTGCAATGCATAACGGCATCTTTGGCAGCTTGCGCATTGTACCAACTTGCTACATTTACTCCTAGCTTGCTTGAACCAGTTGAATGCAGTTTTAATTTAGCTATCTACAGTTTTTTTAAAAGTGTGCATGAAATATAAAAAATACTCAAGTTAAAAGTGAAAATTAAATTAGTCCTACTACCCCCACTTGTGGGGTAGGGCGGGGTAAAAATCCCAGAATAAATAAATAAAATAACCCTGCTCATCTTGCTTGTGAACAATATATCAGCAGTGTTTGTATGCAGACTGTTTGACACTGTGCAGAATAACTTTGATGGAGTCGATGCTAAATATCAATATACTGGTCTTTAAAAGCATATTTACACATATTCTAGCTGGCAGCCTGTTATTGACTACATTGACAGTAAGTTTGAAGACTATCTCAATGCAGAATCCCGTGTGAACAGACGACAGATGCCAGACAACAGAGTGCAGTGTTGCTTATACTTCATTGCTCCTTCAGGACATGGGTCAGTAGCAAACATAACTTTTTTCCCCATCCACCTCTAGCCATTAACGCAAACATTCATAACCAGCTAATTCCAATTTGTTTCTGCATCAAGGTTGCAAACTGGGCCTGATTTCTTAAATAACACAATTTCTCATTTTAGAGTTTAGTGCCGTGCACTAAATTTGAGAATCGCCATTTTCTTGATGTTCTTGATAGGGTTACCATAGGTTTTCATGACCTCTAGAACACCTCAGATCAGTTATTCCAAGAGATTAATTCTCCTTTCATTAAAGTCAAGAACGCAGCGTAGGCGCTTCGGTTCATTATTAATGCCAGTGATTGAATTTCACAGTGCGCACAGGTCATTGGTTTACGGTTTCTTCTTCCTGCCCTTTGGGCTCGCTTCTGACTTAAAATTATGTTTGATTCTAGACCTTGAATATACTGAAGAATGAAACCTGGAGAGAAAATGTTGTCCCATCTAGCCCTGTATTAAGATTAGTCTGTGTGAAGTGTGTATTGAAGGGGCGGGGGAGATCTATTGTTGACGTTTGCTGTGTGGACAAAATATAGATGCCAGTTCTGTTAGGGGTTCACCGCCTAAACTATTAGATGTCCTCCTGACTACTTCTGCTCCCTCACACACGTATGCACCTTTATTTAAGGGTACCTGCTGTTTTTCATATTTACATATTGTAGGTCAAGCAAAACATACTTTTGAGGGTTGCTAAACTTTTTGCCAAAATAGTTGTTTAGTATGGTTGCTAAACTTTTTGCCAAAATAGTTGTTTTGTATGGTATTGTCAGGTCAATCAATCCCAGTCAATCACACTCAACGCAGGGTCTTCGGAAATACCAGTTTATTGAGAGAGAAAGTACTTGAAACACCATAAACTCTCGTGTCAGGAATGATGAGGGAGGCACAGGGTCCCAGGGAAATACCCCCTTCGAAGGAGAACCCTGACACCCCCAAGCCAATGAGCAAGCACAATTAACCATGGGCTAATACACAACCGTTAGGTTCCCACCTCAGTGAAAAGATAAGCACTAGTCTAGCAGAATGAGTGAGGGAGGGGGGTACAATCCGTTGCTTAACACCCTAACCCATGGCAAGGGAAGAAGTGCCTCTAGCTCCAAGGCCAGCTGCAAGATAAGCACTAGCCTAGCAGAATGAGTGGGGGAGGGGAGTACAATCTGTTGCATCAGCTGACAGGTACATGAGTACAAGTAGATGGGACCTATTTCATTCATTTTGGGTCCAGATTTCCATGTTTGAATCTCAGTATTGCTAGTATCACGCATTCATAAGTTTTGATAGTCTTAATTGTAACATTTGTAAGCAGGTATAATAGTTTCTATTCCTTAAATACACTAGAGGGGAAAGCTTAAATACTCTAGAGGGGGACAGAGAGCTGGCCTCCATTTGTGAACATATACCTAGGTCACAGTGCTTTCATTTCTCTGCCAGATCTAGATTTGTCTTGCAACTAGTCACCTATTTGTTAATAAGACTTACTGTTTCTCAGTTCTGAATTTTGTTATGGTGTTGTAG